CTTAATTGGCCCCCAGAGTGGGACACAATCAGGCCAGCCGGGCACTGCCAGGCTCTCAGCCTGTCCCTGGAACCCTCACCTGGGGAGGACAGGTGGCTCCTTGGGAAGGGGCTGGCCTACTGCTATCCTCCAGCAGACAGCAGTGCTGCATACACTTGTCCGTGGGACAACTGCAGGTATGGCCATCATGCCATCCTACCTCCTCTGGAAGTTCAACTGACCAATCAGACTCCAGCTCCCATGCTTCCTTCCATTACCAACAGCCTTCTTCTCCCCAGTCAAGGAGCCACCTCATTTATTTTAATTATCTTTAATTGAGAACTAAGAGATCAACAGAGTGGAACTGTTCTCCCTCTTTAACCTGTCCCTCTGCCTTCCCTCTGACCCTAGTAGTCAGGGCTGTCGAGGTTACAGGAAGAAAACAGAGCAAGTAGTCAGGGCTGTCGAGATACAGGAAGAAAACAGGGCAAGAAAAAGGAGCTTATTCCCGGGCGGGAAGGGTGGAGGGTCAGTATGAGGAAGGACTTTCCAACTGCTGAGGATGGCATGTGGAACAGTGGAGCCCTAACAAGGACAGGGACTTTCCAGGAGGAGTTCTGAGGCTCCTGCATGTGGTCCCACTCCACCTCTCCTTGCAGGGCTTCATAGACAGAGAACTCACTGCTCCCACAGCACTGCTACACAGCTGTGGTGGAGAAGGTTCCTGAACTGACTGTTGCTGTTCACTCACAGGAGAGGTGTCCTCACTGTCCAGACAAGAAACTGAGGTCCACAAAGGGCAACAGGGTGGCCCCAGGGCCCTGCAGTCATCTCTGGCAAAGGCTCAGATGCATCAGTCCCCAAGCAAAGTTCCTGGCCTCCTAGATGACATCTCAGTCACGTTAGGCCTTTCCTTAGCCTCTAGCTCCTCAGCCCTACCTCTCCTCCACCCCACCTTTTCAATTATTGTCTATGCAGCTGAAAGTTGGAAAATGAATAAGAATGACAGATGAAAAAATTCTATGACTTTGAGTTGTGATGCTGGCGAAGAGCACTGAATATCTCATGGACTGCCAAAAGGACAAACAAATATGTCTTAGAAAAGGTGCAGCCAGCGGGCTCCTTGGAGGCAAGGATAGTGGAACTTTGTTTCACATACTTTGGGCATGTTGCTAGGAGGGACCTGTCCTTGGAAAGGACATCATACTCAGAAAGGTGGAGGGCCAGTGATAAAAGGGGAAGACCCTCAATAAGATGGACTGACACGTGACAGTAATGGGGGCTCAAGTATGGCAGAGATGATGAGGGTGATAAGGGATAGGGCAGGGTTCAGATCCATTGTTGATGGGGTTGCTGTGAATTGTAGTAGACTCAATGGCATTTAACAACCAGCAAACTGACAGTGCTTCAGTCACCTTTGGGACAGGAATGCAGTTTCCAGAAACAACTGTATGTGTCTGTATTGGGATGGAAGACACCCACACTGCACCAACTTGGTCTCTAGCCTCCAAGCAGGACATAGAAGCAAACCAGTATTCTTTGCCTCAAATCCAGATTGTCATGACATTTGGAAATTTTTCCTGGTGTCTAACTGCCATCTCTCTTTTAAAACATTTCATTGTAGTTCAGGAGAGCGTTTATGGAGCACGTAAGTTTCCCACTCAAAAATGTGTGCGTATTTTGTTTCATGACAGCGGCTGCTGTTCCCTTAATGTAACACCATTCTCTTCACTTCCTACCTGGGCTCTGCTTATTGGTCCTTTCCTGCCTCTTTCTGATTTTGGAACTTTGCTTTGAGGCAAATGTTACTCTTTTGGTCTCATATGATTGATGGCTTGAGGAGTACAGCTCTCCTTGGTATTACTGTTCACATTACAGGAGTGTGTCTTTGGCTGAAAAGTAGTTTCGGGTGTGGGTTCAGTTCTTGGTTTGAGGGGCAGTGTCTCGGGTCCACAGTGTTGGAGGTTCCACTGGTCTCTATCAGACCAGTAAGTCTGAATTTTTACTTTGTATCTCTTGAGCTGCAAAGGAAGTTAGCCTGTTTTACTGGGTTCTCAGAGGACTGGACCTGAGAGGCCGAAGGAGCAAGGTACCACTGAATATTTGCTACAGTAAGGGCGAGTGGCCCTGCACTCAACGACCTGGTTCTGACACCCTAGTGACCGCGTGTCAGAGGACTGCCCCATCCTCATTTACAGAGAAGGAAGTTGAGGCATAAAGAGAATTAAACTTACCCAAGGCCACAGAGCTAAAAGTAGCTTTGGAATTTCTACTAGGCCTGGCATTGCCTGGGGGTCCCTCGTATTTCTGGATAGGGGCACCGGAATGGACTCTTGCTAATGATTCAATAAGCGGATTGGGAACTGATAGTCACTATCATGGCTCACTACCTATCCGCCCCCCAAAATCTGGTACAAGCAATAACAAAAGACTCGCGCATGTGCAGCTGGACTACTTCATCAAGTGGGTTGACAGAAGCAAGGGAACTGTCCAGAGATAGATAGTTGCTAAAATTCCGGCCCCGCCTCTATGTTAATGATATGCAGATATATGTAAATTTGCTGCTCAAACCTTTAGGAGTAATGGGGGTGACACGAGAGCGGTTGCTATGGAAACTCAAACGCGACCCCCCACACACCTTTCGCACAAGCAGGCGCATAGATACAGGCACAAAGACCCAGGGTTCCTCGCTCCACAGCCCGGAGCATCACGAAGTCACAGAGGGTGTGAACCGGAAAACCTCAGCGACTGCGTGTAGGGGAGGGGGCGAAGCCGAGGCCGGGAGGGGATGCGAGTGTCCCGCAGCCGCAGGCCGCGAAGAGAACAGGAGCGCGGTCCCTGCCAGCCTGGGCCATCTTCCCTCAAGATCTAGGGGGCGAGGTGGCCCACCGGATTCCTAACGATGCTTACTCCGACCTAGCAACACCAGCCCCGCCCAGCGTTGCTTAGTAACGTGCCTCCAGCCTAGCAACAGTCGGATCACGCCCCCTAGCAACACCCGGCTTAATCCACGCTCCTGGCCTCCGCCCAAGGGGAGAAAGGGGGTGGGGGGTGAAGAAGGGGTCCTCGAAGGCTAAAAGATGGGTCAAAAGATGGTAGTCAGTGGCAGGCTGCAGGATTTCGGGGTCTAACTATAAACTGTCTCTGTAGCCTTTAACTAAAGAGGAGGAAACTGAAGCTCCTAAAAGAAAGCACTGCTAGAGTAGAGTTTGTTCCTTCCTAAACGCCCCAGAAAAGCAGCAGAGCTCCCGCACGCAGGACTCTCTCCCATCTCCCTCAGAGGAAGCTCTGGGCCGGGTCTTGGGGGAGTATGCACAGTTCTCTTCCTCCAACCCCAACTGCGTTAGGGAAACCACCCAAGTTGCAGACTCCGAATCCGAGGTGCAGGCTTGCATAGTAATTCGCGTCATTTGCATATGGCGCGGAGGCTGTGGCGCTCCCACGCCCTTCCGAGCCGGAAAAATTTCCGCATGCACCTCGCCCCCCCTCCCCCGTCTCACCTGTCCAGCCTCCGCCCGCAACCCGCACCCCCCGCACCCGCCGCCAGCCCCTCCCACCACATGGCCGCCCAGCCCCCAGCCCGCTTCATCCCAAGGTGGAGGGCCCCCTCTGCTGTCGGCCGCGGGTAGGGCAGCCGCAGAGCTCGTGGGGCAGAGGCACGGGATGCCCCGCCCCCACCCACCCTCTCCCGGCTCCTTCCAATCCTAAAGCGTCCAGGGAGAGTCCGGGACGTGCTTGGATTTCCAGAGGAAGTGGACAAGGATGCAACCCATCAGGCCTGGGGGCCTGGCAGAGGTCTTCTCGAAACTAGGCCCCGCTTCCCTACGGTGGTCAGTCAGAGTGGTGGTGGGGCAATTAGTCACTCTGTCAGCCCTCCCCGAAGCCCACCTCCACTGAGACGCTTTCTGTTCTTGGCTCCAGGCAAAGCGGCAGCATCCAACCCTGACATCGGGCTCACCACCCCGAGGCTATGGGAGCCGCAAGAGGTATCTAGAAAGGAGACTGTGGATCTCCCACCTTCTCAACAGGGACCCACACATAGACGTGCACGCAGACACATAAACACACACATGCTCACAGGCACGTACACACAGAGACAGAGGATATGAGGGAGGTATGTACTACTACACTCAGCTATGCAAAAGGGGGGTGAGGAGGAATCTGGGTAACTTTAAAAAATTGAAAGCATGGCCAACTCATTCTCCTTTTCTCCCTGCTGATTTCCAGGTGGCTGTGCCCATTCGGGAGTCTCCGGTGTTAAGTGCCTGGCTGTAAAAGGTTGGTAGTTAGAGCCCTCCTAGAGAGCCCTTGGAAGAAAGGCCTGTTATCTACTTAGAGGGGAAAAACAGATCAGCCATCGAAAACCCCTGGAGACCAGTTCAGACACGTAGACAACTGAGTTTGTTGTTATTGTTTTTTTTTTTTAACTAGTATCAACAATCTCTGCCCATTTCTCTTTTCCATCACCCTTTTTCTCTGCTAGAGAGAATAAACCCAGAGCCGTATGACAACCGTGCCCTGGGGTAATGGGTCAAGATCTCAGACAAGCAGCTCACAAGGCCACTGTCTTCTCCAGCCCATCATTTAGCTCAGCTATACCTGGTAAGAAGCTGCATTCCTATCCTGACAACATGCAGTTTGAATCTGCCAGCTGTTCCTTGGAAGGAGGATAGGCAACCTCCTCCCATGTGACTAAATGCCTCTGAAAACCAGCTGGAGGGTCAGTCCCCACTCTACAGTACACACCACCACCACACGTGCACAGCAGACACACCCACCATCAGCCCACACCTGACCTCCTGCAGATGCAGATCCCACCTGAGCAGTCAGCACAAGCAGCCCCAAGTTTGTACAACTCTTTATTGAATAAAAAATCAACACCAAACAGACTGTAGAACAAGGATTCAAACAAAACAGGTGTGGTGAGCCACCCTCCCCTCCCGCCCCTGCTTCTCGCCTTGGCAAAAGTCAGGGTCCAGCACTCAGAACAAGAGCCCCTCTTCTGGTGGGTCATGATTGGGTCAGACTTCTCTGGGAAGGAGGCCAGCCTCATCCATGGGATCCAAAGAAGAGCCCAGGGCTGGGCCAGGAGGTTCTGGAACTGCAGGGAGGCCAGGGCCTCCAGGGGCTGTTGGTTGCTGACCAGACACTGCTGAGTATAGGGGTGGGAGCTCCTGGCCTGGGGGCCACAGCGAGGCTTGAAGCTGGCGGCTAATAGTCACCAGAGATTCGAGGTGCTGGAGTAGGACTAGGTGGGGACAGGAGGCCTTGTGGAGGTGCTGGCCATGGCCAAAGCTGTGGCCGGCTGGAGGTGTTGACGAGGGGTTCCATAAGTGGCACCCACCTGGCTTTGGGGGCTGATAGCTTCGCCCAGGACTCTGAGAGGCCTCACACTCTCCCCACAGTCTCCCTCTGCCTCTGGAGGGCCATAGGTGTGACACTCTTGGAGTCAGGGTGCTGTGGCCCTGGCTCTGCCACAGGACAGCCCTGGGAGGAGGGGAGCCGCCCTTCAAGGCCACATCCTGCCTGGGGTCCTCTGGCTGGTAGCATCTTGTCTCCACTTTCCTGTTGAAGGAGACTGTCTTGCGCACCTTCCCCTTAAAGGGGGTGGGACCTGTAGTCTCAGACAACCCTGCCTTGGGGAGCAGCACAGCCAGCAGCAGGCTTGAGTGAGTGACTTCCAGGCCTGGAAGAGAGGGGGCAGGGGCTGTGCTCACTTTGCTGAGTTCTTTCTCCCTATCAGAGACTGTAAATTTGAAAAGAGGCTTTGATTCTAATGGAAGGTGCTGTGGAATTGGGAGAAACAGATGCCAGCCACATCTAGAAGCAGAAGCTCTCATGTGGAGAAAATGTGGAATTGTTCACGACAGATTAATAAGTAAAAACAAATAAACCTGTGCTTGCCTTGCTTGTTGGGTAATCTGATACACACACACACCACCCCCCACCCCCCAGGCACAGTGGGGGAAGGTATATTAACTCCCAGAAGCTGCATTCTGGCTGCAGCACAAAGGCAGAAGTTAGAATTCAATAACTTTCCAGCAGAGAGGGCTATGAGCTGTTGGGAGAAGTAGGAGGGAGCACTAACCTGTCTCAGAAGATCTAGCCCCAGCCTAGGAAAGGGTTTACCAGACAAGGATGAGGCCTAGGTGATCTAGCTCAAGACCATGGATTCAAAGTCTGTCTCACTGTCCACAGGACAGGCAGGACTTTGTTCAGAAAAGGTTTATAGTCTCTTCCTTGTCATGTTATTTTCCTAGGTTCTCAGTGCTCAAGTCCTAATGGGTTCCCATGAGCAAAAGCTGTGCTTGGCCTACATGTTGTTACCTGTGGTCAAGTCAGCCCCCAACATATGCTGACAAGGGAATAAAATCCTTCCCGTCCTGTACCATCCCCCCAGTCTGTTACAGAACAGGCTCCGGTGACCCACAAGCTTCCCATTTACTAAGCTGTGGAAGCAGAACACCAAGCCTTTCTTCCTAGTCCATCTTACTCTAGAAGCTCCACTGAAACCCATTTAGCACCATGGCAACATGGCAGTCAGAGCTTCCCTGACAGATGGGCTGGGCTGAGCAGGAGGTGCAGAAGCTGGGAATCCACCCTGGTCTCCTCATGAAAGAATTCTACACGGCACCACCAGTGCCTCCCTGGGCCAGCAGAGCAGTGGTGGAAAACACTCTAGTCCCCTGTCTGGTTTTCAGTCAGCTGTGTAACTCGCTGTCTTTGCCAAATATCCCAGGAGATTCTACTCAGGAGAAGCGGTGTGGTGTGGTGGTCAAAAGTCTGCAGAACTGTGCTGCCTGGATAGGGAGCCTGGCTCTTGTGCCTAGCTGATCTCGGACTAGGCATCAACCCTCCGCTCCCCACTTCAATTTCCTCATCTGTGAAATGGAAAAATCAAGAACATCTGCTGGGTAGGGTTCTTTTGATGCTTAAATGAGTTTATATATGTAAGGCTTTTTTTCAGAGCAAGTCTGAAAAGAACAGCAGAAAGTAGAGGTGGGAGCACTTGGTCTAGGGGCCACAATGGGGCTTGGAGGTGGTGGCTCATAGTCACCAGAGATTCAAGGTGCTAGAGCAAGTCTAGGTGGGGACAGGAGGCCTTGTGGAGGTGCTGGCCATTGCCAAGGTGGTGGCCAGCTGGTGGTACTGAAGTGGGCTTTAAAGGGTGGGCTTCAAAGAGTTATCATCGCTGTCACCTATGTCCAAACTTTCCTTTCTGGAATATGCCTGCCTTTCTTGACACATGGGTGTCTGTGTCAACAAGGCCACCAAGTCAGGGAAAGCAGGGACTAGTAAGGGTGCTGGGCACTCACCTGGGCCCCCAAGAGAGCGCAGTCTGGCTGGCAGGGGCTGGAAGGCGGGCAGGGGCAGCAGGACCACCCCCACGTCGTCCACAGCAGCCAGGCAATGGCACTGCTTATTGTTGAGATAGGAATAGAGGAGGCGGCAGTTCTGGGTGTCCTGAGGCCCATGTGGACATAGCCTGACCACGCTGATGTCCTGTGACCACAGGAAGGACAGCAGCTTTGAGCATGTGACCTCTTACTCCTACAAATACCCTAACCTTCCGAGAACCATGGGAAGCTGTCCTGTTCTACAGCGGAGGAAACAGTGGGCTTGCCCAGGGTCCCACATCAAGTCTGCAGTCACAGTGGAAAGCAGACCCAGCATCCCGAAACCAGGCCTCTGCTCAGAGGTGGAGGGAGAGGGAGGCAGGGGTAGTTTTGAATTGAATTGTATCTCTCCCCAAATTTGTACTGGAATTCTAACTCTGTACTTGTGGGTATAATAGAAATAGTTTACTTTTGTTTTTAAATGAGAAATTTTTTTTTTTAATGTTGTTGGCCCTAACAGTGCAGGCTGCATCCTAACCCTAACCACTCCTGAGATTTAAAGAGACCAGGGCCGGGCACAAACAGGGGCTGTGGTAGGGAGAGAGATGCCATGCTAAGATCAGCTGAGGCAGATGTGCCAAGGCTACAGAATCTGGAAGAGGCAAAGGTCTTCCCCCCAAGAGAGAGGCTTCCCCCACAGCCAGAGCCCTGAATGTAGACTTTCAGTCTCCAAAATGGTGAGAAAATAAATTTGTTCTTCTATGTACTTGTGGTTATTTCTGCTTTATGAAACAAAACAGGGATAAGGCACTAGGGGATGAAGTGGTAGCTAAATATGGCCTGTTACCTTGGCCTCGGCTGAGCAGACACTGGCCAGCAGGTCCCAGACAGTGTTGGGGGCAATGCAGCCCGCTGAGCGGATCACCTCGGGCAGAGCCTGGGGGCAGGTAGGATGGTGGGTTAGCCCCAACTTCCCACCCACTCAGAATTCCAACCAGCGGAAGGCTGGAGCTCTTGCTCCCCAAGGAGGCTGGCAGGCAGTCAGCACATCAGGATTCTGAGTGAGGGCCCAGCAAGCCCTAGGCAGCTATCCCTGAAGCCTCCAGCTGGCCAGGCCCACCTCTTATGAATGTTCTCAGAAGTCTCTCCTCTTCCCCAGATTCCAACACTTAACAGCCCTTTCTCTGCTCATTGAGTGACATCACTCCCCAAACCCTCCTCTGGGACCAGGAAGGCACCAGAGTCCTCTCCTGGGCACTGCAAGCCTTGGGTCCTTTATCCCTGTCTTTGCAAAAGTGGGGCTGCTATGTCGTTTGTCCCTGTGGCTGACACAGAGTCATAGCCATGCCTTTGGTCTTTGCATGAGTAAATGAATGAATGAATGAAAGAAAGAAATGTGAGCAGCTGACTGGTGGGGAAGTCAGCAGCACGCAGGCAGGAGTACCTGGATGAGCCGATGGCTGTGGCCTGAGACCAGCTGGGCTTTGGCCCGGAACCGCTTGATGGAGAACATGTCAAGAGACCCCACCCAGGGTGGCTCGCCGGGCAGATCCTTTGAGGATCCAGCAGGTGTGTGGGGCCTGGAAAAAAAGGGGGCAGGGGTGCAGATAGAGCAGTTCACCAGGACTTGCTTCAGCATCTCTGCCCAGCTTCTGCTCCTTTCTTATCAGAGCAGGACCTGGGTCCCCAAAGCAGGAGCTAGAACAAAGGCCAAGTGCTGGCTGTTGGCCCATGCACGGCTCTGTGCAGGAAGCCTAGTAGACTGTGATGATTCATTCTAGTGCACAGATGGAGAAACTGAGGCCCATAGAGGCAGTAGGACTTCCGTGAAGTAGTAGGCACATAGTAAGCGAAGCTTCAGTTTTGTCTGCTACACCAGCTGGTCCCCCCCAGATGCCCATTTTCCTGGGCCAGCCCCACACCTGTCCTGGGTATCGGTAGGGGGCTTCTCCCTGTTTAGGGTCATCTTTGATGGAGACACAGGGGGTGGGCTTGATAACCTCTGGAAGATACTGTCCACTCTTCTGGTGGTTTCGAAGTGGTCTGGCAGCTCACACGAGGGCTCCCAGTCTGCAAAGAGCAGAGGCAGAAGCTGAAAGCAGCCAACAGGGGAACTTCAACCAGGCCAGGGCTTGAGAGCCAAGCTCTTTCTTGAGGTAATGGGCACCTCCCTAGGCCACAGATCCCTGTTGCTCAGCCCCAGCTTGCCTGCCACCCAAGCACTGGCCCCTGTGCCCCCTCCCACCCTTGCAGAGTTCACAGTTGGGGTCTAGGAAGTGGTGCTCATGCTGGGCCGTGGTGTCCTCTGATGACATGGCAGGCATGTCTGCGGGTCCCTGTAAGACACAGGAGAGAAGAGGTGGACTGGGAGGGAAGCTGGGGACGCGGGGGCCTCACCATGGGTAGGAGGCCCCAGAGGCAGGGCTTATTTTATCTTACCAAACAGTAGGCTCTTTCATTTCTTACAGAGTAATAGAAAAATTAAAGGGGAAACTCCCCCTGTTGGCCCACCACGCAGAGACAACAGTTGGTATCCTGTCTATTCCAGTAGCTTTTGTCTTCATAGGGGTTTTACTATAATCTCAAAAAGGAAAACAACACAAAACTCACTGTTGTGAAGTCGAAACCAACTCATAGCTGACCCGCTAGCAGGTTTTCAAAGAGTGTGAATCGCAGGGGGGAAGACTGTCTCTCTTCCTCCAGCAGAGCTGCTGGTGGATACAAACCTCCAGAGAAGAACTCCTTCGGTTGGCAGCAGTGCTCCCCACAGACTGCGCCACCAGAACTCCCCCTGAAACAGCTGGGACCAAACAGTCCACTTGGTCTTCTCATTTAGTTCATTAATTAGAGCAGAGACGTTTGCTATCTTGGATGGTCGTTGCTGAAGCTGTGCTGATGGCACCCCATCCCTGCGGCTCACGAGTCACCTCGGCTGATGGACGGGTGGGTCATTTCCAGTTTTTCACAATTATAAATAGCACCGAGGACATCTTTGTGCAGAAATATTTTGCCTAAACTTTGAATTCTTTCTTTAGGATAAGTTCCAGAAGCAAGTGAGAGAGTCAGGGAAAATGAACATTTTTAAGATTCTTAGTGCCCAACTGCCAAACTGTCAGATCAGAAATAGCTTTCAACACAAAACACAGTGTGTGACAATGTATGTGTTTATGTTGGGGGCATATTTTACACACACACACACACACACACACACACACACATACACATTAACACCATAGAATCAACCCTGACTCACAGCCACCCCATGCGTATCAAAGTAGAACTGTGCTCTGAGAGTTTTCAAAGACTGGTTTTAGAAAAGCAGGTTAAGAGATTTCTTCTGAAATGTCTCTGGTATACTTGAACCTCCAACCTTTTGGCTAGCAGCCAAGCACATTAACCACTTACACCATCCAGGGATATACATACATAAAATATATAGAAAGAGAACATGCCAAGAAGAGTGAGAGAGAGGGTGCCCTGATTTAGTAATGAAAACCCCTAGATGCTTGTTAATCTCATAACTGGCGATTCAAGCCTCTCAACCCCTTCGCTGGACAAAGATGAGACAGTGTGCGTCTGTAAAGATTCAGAGTTTCAGGAACAAACCCTATTGGGCACTTCTATTCTTTAGCGAGGAGTTGGAATGAATTTGATGGTAGTTGTTTTTGTTAGGTGTCATCAAGTCGAGCATGACTCACGGCAATCTTATGAACAACAGATCTGAACTCTGTCCTATCCTGTGCCATCCTCACAATCTCCGACAATCTTGAGCCCACTGCTGTAGTTACTAGCTTAATCAATCTGATCGAAGGTCTTTCTCTCTTTCGCTGACACTCCACCTTTTCAAGTATGATATTCCTCTTCAAGCGACAGCCTCTCCTAGCAATATGCACAACGTATACGAAACAGAGTTTTGCCATCTCTGCCTCCAAGGAGCACTCTGACTATACTTTCTTCAAGATATATCTGGTGTTCTTTTGGCAGTTCATGGGATAGTCAGTATTATTCTCCAATACCACAGTTCAAAAACATCAATTCCCCTGTCTTTCTTATTCACTGTCTAGCTCTCTAGATACACAGCAAGTGATTGAAAAGACCATGGCCTGAATCAGGCACACTTTAGTCCTCAAACTGACATCTTTGCTCCTCAGTAATAGAGTGGTCCCTAACTGCAGACTTTTTCCATGCAATGTGTCTCCTGATCTTCTGACTGCTGGTACCAAGGATGTTGATTGTGGATCCAAGTAAGATGAACTTGACAGTTTCAATCTTTTCTCCATCTATAACAATGTTGCCTTTCAGTCAGTGGTGAGAATTTTTGTATTCTTGATGTGGAGAGGCAATCCATACTGAAGACTGTATTCTTTGATATTCTCCAGCAAGCAGTTTAAGTCCTCTTCACTTTCAGCAAGCAAAGGTGTCTCATGTGCATAAAACAACCTCCGATCCTGATGCCACCTTCTCTTCATAGAGTCCAGTTTCTACAATCATTTGTTCAGCATACAGATTGAATAGGTATGGAGAAAGAATACAGCCCTGACACACACCTTCCTTAATTTTATATTATGTAGTAGTTTGCTCTGTTTACACAACATGGTTTGATGGCAGTAAGTTGGGTATATGTATCTCACTCTGGTGGCATATGTGGTTAAGCTTTCCAATTGCTAACTAAAAGTTAGTGGTTTGAACTTACCAGCCACTCTGTGGGAGAAGGATGAGGCACTCTTTAAAAGATTATAGTGCTGGAAACCACTGAAGGCAGTTCTTCTTTCCCTTGAAGGGTCACTATGAACTATGAGTAGGAACTGACTCAGTAGCAATGGTGGGATGTGTGTGTGTGTGTGTGTGTGTGTGAGAGAGAGAGAGAGAGAACACGAGCGAGAGTGCATGCAAGCGCACCTTGGTGGGTTAAGTGTTGGGCTGGGTTGCTAATTCAAAACCCATCAGTGTGAACCACCAGCTACTCCACAGTTGAAAGATGAAGCAGTCTCCTCCAGATTAAGATTTACAGCCTTGAAAACCCAAGGGAAGGTTGCTGTAAATCAGAATAAACTCAGTGGCCATGGACTTAATGTGTACATTGTGTGTGTCTGTGTCTGTGTCTGTCTATTGCTCTAATGCTATACATACATATTCTGGTAGATAAGAAGTTGCACTGCCAACCAAAGTGGGCAGTTCAAATCCACCATCTGCTCCTCCCATGCAAAAGTAAGATGGACAATCTCCTCCCACGTGATTTACAGCTTCTCAAAACCTATAGGAGGGTCAGCTATGAGTTGGTTCTGACTCGATGGTACACAACAATATATGCTATATGTAAATATGCTCACTGTAAACAATTCAAACGATAATGAAGAGAGTAAGGAAAAGAGCAAACCTTCTTTTAGGAAGAGAACTAACTTTGACATCAGATTCTGAAACGCAAATTTGCCTTGGAGACCACCTCACAGCTGTGCCCAAACACAGGCTTTGTTTAGAATTGGGACAGACTGGGTTCAAATCTCAGCTCCATCAATTCCAAACTCTACGCTCCTGGGCAAGTGACTACAGGTTCCTCATTCATGAAATGAACACTTACAGAGCTCTGGTGGCCTAGTGGTAAAAAGCTGTGCTGCAATTCCAAAGGTCTGCGGTTTGAATCCACCAGCTGCTCAGCAGGAAGATGGAGTAAGTCTCCTCCTGTGAGATTTACTGAAACCCATTGGAGGGTCAGCTATGGGTTGATTCTGACTCAGTGGCACACAACAACAATAGCACTTACTTCATGTGGGTCATGGTAAGATTTGAACAAAGCACCATGTATTATGGGGCACACAAAAGGTGGTGATGATGATGATGATAATAATAATGAAGAAAGAAGAAGAAGGAGAAGGAGAAGGAGGAGGAGGAGGAGGAGGAGGAGGAGGAGAAGGAGGAGGAGGAGAAGTAATAATAATAATGATAATGATTGCTAGTGTGTATTATTTTCTCCTTCCCTGCTCTGGCACCTCCTTTATCTTCTCTCTGGGAACTGAGGGTCCCTTCTAGGTCTACCATGCAGCTCCCCAACATTTACATTTAACTTATTTCAGGAATACATGCTGGTGTTGGTTGAGAAAGCAACCTCACTCCCTTGGGGCTTCTCTGCACGGGCAGTGGTTCTCCTGACCACTGGTCTGGATATGCTGGTGGAGCAGGGATTTTGTCTGTCAAGTTCATAGCCTTTTCCCAGTGCTTAAAACAGTGTTCCTAAGACATAGCAGGTGCTCAATTAATACATACTCAGTTAAACAGCATGGCTCAAGGGGCCTACCCTGCATCCCACGTCGCAGACATGATTACCTGGACCAGGCCGCACAACTGACCCACAGTCACCCAACCACAGCCTGGGCTCAGCCTAACAGGCTTGGAACTGAGGCAAGCCAAGGGCCGTTCAGACTGGCTGCAGGAAGCAGAGCCGATGGGCACCAGATGGAGATGCCACAGCAGAGGGAGGAGCAGGATGGAGGCCAGGGTGCTGGTAACTAGAGGCGACCCAGACTGTGCCACTCCTGGTGGCTTTCAGATCATTCCAGATCTGAACAAGCTACCCTGGGGACTTGGTTAGTGTTCCACCAGGAATGTCTCTAGCCCTTCCACTGAATAGAAAAGGTCTGTGTTTCTCAGAGCCAAAACCATCAATGCCTGGAGCCGTGTGTTCATCCTATTTCTCAGCCAACAATCCAGATGGAATGACTGAGGTGTGTGTGGGATGACTGCAGGTTAAGACTGATGACCACTCTCAGGAGGGGCCTCAGGGCTAGGCACACAGGAAAGAGACAGGTCTCAAGGAGGCACCACCAGATAGTAGTTCAATCTCACCATGCTCACTAGACCCTGTGCGCTAATGAGGTGGGACTCAGACTGGTCAGGCAACTTGTCTGAGGCCACACAGCGAGAGAATAAGCAGTGGGATCCCTGGGCACAGGCTCCACATGGAGCCAGATTGAGGTCCCACTTACCACCAGATCCTCCAGGGTCAGTGTCTGGTCAGTGTTCCGTGGGATCTCTACTTCGCCCTTATGGGTCAGTTTGGTGGCTGGGAGGCTGCATGGCCATTGCTGCTGCTGAATGTTCTCCAGGACCTAGTGGGGCAGGCAGCCTAAGCTCAGGTGAGCTGGGGGTCTCTGACCACCAAGCCCACCCTCCATCCATGAGGCTCCTCTCCTATGGTCCCCCTTCCATGCCAGGTCCATCCCTTCCTCCGTACTATTGTTCTTGCCAATACCTTTACCTAAAATGCTCTCTTCCCTCATCCCTACCTCCCCATATTGCACTGACTCATCCTTTAATTCAAATCCTGCCTCCTCCAGGAATCCTTCCTGGACTTGGCCTTCAGCCATAGTCTCTCTGACTGTGGCCCATCATCTTCCCTGAGAAGGATGTGGTACAGTCAGAAAACAGCAGCCTCTGGAGTTCCGGCTGGGCCATTACTAAAAGATCCACAAGGCAGTCTGACCATGGGCAAGCCCCACTGCCACTGCAAGCCTCAGTTTACCCTCTTCCCAGAAGTAAGCTGAGAGCATTCTACTAAGCAGCATATGGAGAGCTGGCTGATCTTAACGTGATGCTGTTTGTTGGTCAGTGTCACTCTCACTGAAATGTTTCCTAGAAGCATGACTCTCCTTTTTTAATGTCCTCTGAGGACCAGGATCCTAATCTCTCTGGCAGAGGCAGCCCTGTGGGAGGCTCACAGGACACTGCACTTAGAGGGGCCATCTGCTGGTTTTAATGCTCCGCTACCGCCTGGTTGTCTAGTGGTAAGGAGCTGTGCTGCCAACTCGAAGGCACACAGTTCAAACCCACCAGCTGCTCTGTGGGAGAAAGATGGGCAATGTCCTCCCATGCAATTTACTGCTTCTGAAAGGTCAACTATGAATCAGTTCTGACTTGACAGTACGTGACAGCAACAGTTATGCTGAAATTATTCCTAATTTCTGAATCAGAGCTCCACAAATATGCCCTGTTCTCTGGCCACACTCCCAGTGTCTGGACAGAGGCTCAACCTCCAGCGGATGCTGCCAGATCACCTAATGGACTCTAGTTACTTACTCTCATCAGCCCAGTGTCTCTAGGGCAAGGGTCTTTATGCCCCACCTTCCCCCACTGGCCCCAGTCCCTAGTTCATTAATACCCTCTCTCCTACTGCCACCCCTACCCGCATAGACAAGCATTCCACAAAGCCCCCTCAGTATCCACACCTACCTGCCCCAAGGGGGTCCCAGGCTGGGAGTACCCAGGATGCATGGTGTGTGGGAAATGGCTGAAAAGTGTGGAGTCTACAGGGTGTCCAATTTCTAGTCTTTTCCATAGTTCCTCATTCTGGGATGTGTAAAGGGACTATAAGGGGACCTCCATGGGTAGTTAATGATAGATAACCCTGACCCCAAACTCTAAACCATCATCCTTACTGTACCCCTCCTGGCACCTACACACAGCCCAGCTCCATAGAAAACTCAGGTGATGGCGCCTCATAGTTGACAGCACCCCACAGGTGATGGCAACCCACTGGTGATGATGCCCCACAGGTGACAGCATCTCACAGGTGATAGAGCCCCACAAGTGATGGCACCTCACAGGTGATGATGTCCTACAGGTGATGGCACCTCACAGGTCCTTTGACCCTGCCTCCTCCTTCATTTTCCCTGTGGGGAAGGTCTCTGCCTCTGCCCCCATCTGTTTTCTCCTCTTTCCTTGTCCCTGTGTTTCTCTTTGTCTTGCTTGTGTTCCCTGTCTCCCTCTCCCTGTTCCATCCTCCAGTTACCACGTTCACACACCACCTCAGGCATGTTCTGTTCCCACCACTGTGCCAAACAGCTCACCCTTTTCTCCTCCTGGGCCCGCCAGCGGGCCAGTTCTTGGGGGGCCAGCTGGATCGAGCTCATCCGCACCAGGCTGTGAGGGGTGAGATCTCCACGAACCACTTTGAGAACCAGGTCCTGCAAGCCGGAGGGCAGGAACTGCACTACACTCTGATGGCCTCATCCCAGCACCTGCCTGGGACCTGGGCTCTGCAGCTGCTCAGCCTGGCTCACCGGGTTCCTGGGGTCACGCAGGTTGAACACCAGGCTGCGGTACTTGGCCTTGTAGCGGCAGCTGGTATCCTGGGTCAGGTCAAAGAGAGCTGCCTCGATGCCAGCAGCGATGTTCTGCACGGCTTCCTCTCTCAGCACCAGCTGTGGGAGCTCCTGAAGACTGAGGGGTGCAGGACAGGTGAGGGAGCTGAGTGTGTGAGGCCACCCAGGCACTCAGCCAGTGAGCGAGTCATAAGAGGAGGGCTGAGGTGTTCTAAGTCAATGTCACTTTCTGTCTGGGGCAATTTTCCTACATGAACCACTGATCTACACTAGATCCCTGTGAGAAAGAACTGTTGATGTTTCAGTTTCCAGATGGGAGTTCTGAGAAGATAAGGGGTTTGTTCCAAGGTCACACAGTTAGTGGCAAAGTCAAGATTACAGTCCAGCTCTTTGTGATTCATGCTCTAACTGGGGCCAATGCAACTGGGACTCTGCAGTTGAGATGGGGAGGAAACCTCAGGGTAGAGCATCTGTCTAGAGAGCAGATAGAGACCTGGCTTGGAGGTCAGGACACCTGGTGTCATGTCAAATCTGCCTCTGTCATGGCCTTTTCACAGCCCTCCCTTGGAGCCTTGGTCTCACTATCTGTAAACAAGAGCTCTGCTCTCCCGCACTTGCACTCTCCCAGCAGAGTCTCAAAGGCGTTGCTGTGGGTGACATCCAGGAGGCTCTGAACAGAGGCTGAAAGCTGCAGTGCCTTAATGGGAAAGCTCAACCTTGGAGCCAGAAACCAGGTTCACATTTCAGCTTCTCACAGGCCAGTGGGAGAGAGCGTGACCTCACAGCTAAAAAAATGGGGTCAGCCCCCCACACAGCAGTTTGAGAGCATGGCATGGCACTGTCCCCTTTGTATACAAAGACCTTGGGCCCAGGGAGCCCTGGGAGGAGGTGGTTTGTGGGGGCAGCCCCATGAGGGTGTCTTGGTTGTGAGGGAAGTGGGGAGTCTGCCTTACCGACTCTGCAAGACCTCCTGCAGGGAGTGAATCACAATGTCCCGCACCAGGGGCAGTGCCTCCTGCTGGGGTGGAGGCTGAGCTGTAGAAGAAAGAGTCCCAGCTCAGGGGGTGCTCAGGAGCACAGGGAGGGTCTGCACGCAACAGTGAGGTTCAGACACCAGGCAGCTGATAGCCCTCCCTGTCCCACGCGTGGAAGAGACTGTGGAGGGCTGACTGGGGAAGCAGGTGTGGAGGGCAAGACTTTACAGGGGCTGAGGACCAGGCACTGGGCCTGAAATCTCCCCAGTAGTTATGGGAACAGAGGAAGCCGCGGAGGGGGCCTTCACCTGAGCCTTTTCCCGATTCTCCTTCACCAGGCGCCTCCTTGTCAGCATCCACTGCCGTCCACTCTGGAAGCGGGACCTGAGGGGGTAGCTCAGGAGCTGAGATGTCTGGACCCAGCCTCCTGGCCCTGGAGTCACTACCTCCCTTGACCCAGTTCCCCCCCCCCCCCCCCCTTTCTCCCTCATCACTCCAGAGAAGGCAGTCACATGACCAGGGCACAAGCAATCACCCCTGCACCCTCAGCACTGGCCTCCTGAATAGGAGCCTCTTCCTGCCAGAGAGAGAGGACATGGCCAAGGAGGTGGAGGACCATCAGGGGCAGAGAATGGTTCTTTGGATGGTGGGAGGGGTCAGAGGTCACAGAGCTCATGTCCATCCTGAAGGAGGCAGATGGAGAACCTCGGCTAAACAGATCCGCTGGTCAACCAGGACCATGGGCTGCTTGCTCCCTCCCACTCGAGCTGCGGGCCCAGCCTCTACCAGGAGACAGGCCTGGCGTGGGGGGTGTTAAGAGGTCTAGGTTCGACCCCCATCTCTATTATTACCTTCTGTGTGACCAAGAGCCAGTCATGCACTCTGAGCCTTGGTGACATTTGTGTGACTCAGGTGTAAAGGTGCCCCACTCAGGACTGTGACATGTGCATATAAAGGGCCCTAGTCTGTACCTGGCACCCAGTGGGGTGCTGGGCCATGAGCCTTGCCTTCTTCCTGGGCCTCGTTTCCCTTCTGGGCCTCTGGGCAGTTGAGGCTGAGCTGATTTCCATCAAGTCCTCCAGTGCCTCCAGCATCAGCCCTCCTGCCTGGCTGTGAGTGATGGCCCCCAGGAGCTGGATGACTGTCCCAGAACCAAACTGCAGGGGAGAGAACTTGAGAGCTCAGCCATGCAGGCTACACCTCTCCTCTCAGGCCTCCCACCTCACCTCTAACTGCTGAATGTCATCCTCCTGAAGTGAACTGTCTGCTCCATGGGGACAGAGAACAAGTCTGTTTTGGTCCTTGTTGTGTCCCCAATGCCTAGAAAAGGTCTGGCACATAAAAGGGTTCGATATTTGCTAACTGCTTGGTCTTCGTGGCCCAGGAGAGGCACCTGACTTTGCTCCTATCCTCTCGCTTTTCCCTATCCCCCCCATTCACGCTCAAAATTAGCAGGACCCTCTACTGGGATTCTCTAAGCCCTCCTTCTGCCCAGGCATGAATCTCATCTAGGGGGACAATTCCTGTTCTGACTCTATCTCTTTCCCCTCCTCCAAGATATGCCGTGTCCTTTTTTAGGGGTCAGTGACTCTCTCAACCCTTCCCCTGAAGCAGCTACATGGTGACCATGTCCATCACTCACTCTGTAATGCTGCCAATCACCACCTCTATTGCTCCTGAGAGAAAACCCTCCACGACCATTTCAGAATGGAGAGCAGGTTTTATCCTCCTAGTGAACATCATAATCTATCCTGGGGCCCCTTTTGCTATGGCTGCCAGAAGTTCAATGTTAACTCTGAGCCATTATAGCTCCTCAAGGCTGGCAGAGGATGATGGAGTTATGGTAACAAAATTCCCTCTTCTTCTTCTCCTCCGTTATTTGCTTTACATTCTTAGACCATTTTAAGGGTTGTGTTGTGGTGTTTTGTTTTTGTTCTTTGTTTTGTTTTGTTTTTACTTATTGTAAACCACAAGGAATTGTTTTGGAAGCAGGTGGTTATCCTTAAATGAACTATCTTGAAATGATCATATTCCAAATTTCAGGGGAAGCTGTGATTCAGTATCATCCCCATCCACTGCCATCGAGTCAGTCATGACTCATAGCGTTCCTATAGAACAAAGCAGAGCTGCTCACAGAGTTGTCAAGGCTGTAAATCTTCCTGGGCACAGACTACCTCATCTTTCACTCAAAGAGCCGCTGGTAGGTTCACACTGCTGAGTCAGCCATCCAGTCAGCAGCCCAAGCCTTAACGCACTGCACCACCAGGGCTTCTTCAGTATAAGGCTGGGGAACACTTGGATGCACTGAAGGGGGCAGGCCATGGGGGCTGGGACTGACTCTACTGGGAAGGGTCACCCTCCCCACTAGCCCTCAGGAAAGGGAGGAAGACAGGCAGAAATAAAAAGAAAGGCAAAAAAACCTACGTAACACACTTGCTTCACCCCACGGGGCAAATCCACTTCCTCCTTGGAGAAAGAAAAAAAAAGATGTAGAAATTAGAATCTAGGTGATCCAGTCAGTGGCCCCACTGCAGGGAATTCACCCAAGAAAACATTCATACAAGGGAGAAAGATGAATGTTCCAGGTCCACTAGCTCGGCACTTAGAACAGCAAAAGTGGGTACAAGCTAAAGTCCATCAAAGAGAACAGGGGACACATCATAGCACAATAAATGATAATGTAGATTCTACAAGGGAATTTAAAAAAATTTGCCATTCGCCTGGGTTTATAGGGTGGAAGTGTATCACAGGGATGTCATTGAGATCCCAGAACAGTAACAGGAGGGATGTACGGTTCCTGGATCATTCAATATTCTACCCATAGCATTTTTAAGTATTGCAACTTGAGGCTTGAATTTGTTCTTTGTTCCTTGAGCTTAAGAAATGCTGAGTGAGTAGGGCCCTTTTGATTTTCAGACACCAGTTCTTTGCATATTTCATTATAATATACTTTGCTTTGTCTTCCCAAGCTTTTCATTAAAATCTTCTGTTTAGCTCCTTAACTTCCTGATTTCTTCCCTTTGCTTTGGCTTCTTGGCACTTTAGAGTGCAATATTCAGAGTCTCTCCTGACATCCATTTTGGTCTTTTCTACTTCTGTCTTTGTAATGACTTTTTGTATTCTTTGTATATCCTCCTCCAACTCATCTGGTCTTCGTTCATTAGTGTTAAAGGCCTCAAATCTCTTCCTGAGTTGGTTTTTAAATTCAGGGAGGATAGACTTAAGGTCAAATTTTGATTCCTGTGAATTTGGTTTGATCATCTTTAGCCCTAATTTAAACTTGCATATGAGTAGTTGATGGTCTGTTCTGCAATCAGCACCTGGCCTAGTTCTCACTGCTGATACTGAACTTCTCCAGTGATTACTTCCACAGATGTAATCAGTCTGGTTCCTGTGCACACCATCAGGTGAAATCCATGTTGTATCCTGTATTTATGTTTCTTATAAAAGGTATTTGCTATGAATCAATCATTGATTATGCAAAATTCTATCATTCTAGCCCCAATCTCATTTCTGTCACCAAGTCCATGTTTCCCAACTACTGATCCTTCTTCCTGGTTCCCAACTTTGGCATTCCAGTCACCCATTATTATTAATGCACCTTGGTTGCATGTTCGAGCAATTTTTTACTGCAACACAGTCATTGTACCAAAAAGAATTGGCTGACACAGAAGAATTTCAAGAAACAACATATGATCAAGAGGGATAGTGATGAAGGAGGAAGTTCAGGCTGCTCTGAAGGACTTGGTAAAAATAAAGCCCCAGGAATTGATGGAATACCAATTGATTTATTTCAACAAACAAATGCTGCCCTGGATGTGCTCACCAGGTTGTGCCATGAAATCTGGAGGACAACTACCTGGCCAACTGACTGGAAGAGATTCATATTTATTTCCATTGCAAAAAAAGGTGACCCGATAGAGTGTGAAAATTATGGTATAGTATCACTCATATCACATGTAAGCAAAATTTTGCTGAAGATTATCCAGAAACAACTGGAACAGTACATTGATAGAGAACTACCAGAAATACAGACTATGTTTAGAAGAGTTTGTGGTACTAGAGACATGATTGCCAATGACAGATGTACTTTGGCAGAAAGCAAGGAGTACCAGAAGGATATCTATCTGTGTTTCACTGACTATACAAAGGCATTTACTGTGTGGATCACAACAAATTGTGGTTATCCTTGAGGAGAATGAGAATCCCAGAAGACTTGATTGTGCTTATGCAAAACCTATACTTGGACCAGGAAACAGTCCTCAGAACAGAGCAGGGAAACACTGCATGGTTCAAAATCAGGGAGTGAATCAGGCATGCATCCTGTTTCCACACCTTTTCAATCTATATGCATAACAGATCATTCAGGAGCCTGCGCTTTATGAGGAGGAATGTGGTATCAGGATTGGAGGAAGACTCATCAACAAGCTACATTATGCAGATGACATGTTGTTGCTTGCTGAAACTGAGGAGAACCTGAAGTGCTTGCTGCAGAAGGTCAAGGACTGTAGTCTTTAATATGAATTGAAGTTAAACATCAAGAAGACAAAGATTCTCACCACTGAGCCAACTGGGAGCACCAAGATGGATGGAGAAGAGACTGAGGTTGTTAATAGTTACAGCTTGCTCGGCTCCACAATCAACACTCTTGGCACCAGCAGTCAGGAAATGAAAAGATGAATTGCATTAGGTAAAACTGCTGTCAGGGAACTTGCCAGAGTACTGAGAAGCAATAAAGTCAGTCTAGAGATTACAATGTGACTGATCCAGTCCATGGTCATCACAATTACTTGCTATGCATCAGAGAGGTGGACAAGGACTAACAATGACTGAAGAAGAATTGATACCTTCGAGTTGTGGTGCTGGAGGAGTGTCTTGCCATGGACCACCAAGAAAACAAATAGATTTGTCTTGGAGAGGATGAAACCAAGTTTCTCCTTGGAGGCTAGGATTTTGAAACTCTGTCTTACATAATTTGGGCACGTAGCCAGGAGGGACTAGAGGACATCATGCTCAGAAGGGTGGAAGGAAAGTCCAGGAGAGGAAGACCCAGGATTTAACAGATTGATGCAGTAACTAGGACAATGTGGGTAGGAGTATTTGAGACAGTGAGACTGGCTCAGCACAGGGCAGGCTTCAGAGCTGTTGTACATAAAAGGTCACTATGAGTCACAGGCAACTCGACTGCACATAATAACATCACGTACTGTTAAAAGCAAAACCAAACCCCATTGCCAGGACAGAGGAGGACTGCTCCATTGTTTCCAAGGCTATCAGCTTTACAGAAGCAGACAGAAGCAGACTGTCATATCTTTCTCACACGTAGCAATGGTGGGTTTGAACTTTCAACCATTCAAACACTTAGTTACTGCTTAACTAGGGCTCCCTGTTTATTATTACTATGCCCATTTTACAGATGAGAGGGTTTCAGAGTGGATCTGACCAATTCCATAGCTAAGCAGGAAGGCTAGGGTTAGACCCTCATTCTGTCAGATTCTGAAGCCGAGGCATTCAACTTCTGGGGCTCTACAGAGGGATAGCCCTAGGGCACTGGCTGACACAGAGAGAATCCTGGAATATGTCCTGACATACTATCAGAGGGGTAAAGTGGGGGGAGGAAAGTAGGTTACAGAACAGTATCTGTTGCGTAAGTCCATTTATGTAAATACGTATTTATAGATGCATAATGGAGGTTATCTCTGGGGAATAAAATTCCAGGGGGACTTTCACTTTCCACTTGTAGACATGTGGATACTTACGTTATTCAAAATGAACATGTATTCCTTTCATAATCAGAAACATATTTTTTATTAAAAAAACAAGTTCAGAAGAGTGTGTGTGTGGTGTGTCATTTGTATTACAAAGAAAGAATTTCTGTATTTGTATTTATTTGAATATGCATAACATACTCAGAAGTATCTACAAGAATCTTATAACCAGGGTCAGTAGGAATTGACTGGGTGATGGAGAGCAGATTTTTCACTCTTTTTCTTTTTTTGTACCATGCAAATGAATCAACATCCCACAGGATAAACTGAAAGACAAAGCAAAACAAAGGAGCTCCCCCCAC